AAGGTGGCGGCGGGGGCGGCAAGGGTGGCGGCGGGGGTGGCGACGGCGGCGGTGGCGATGCTGACGACGGGGGCGGCAAGGGTGGCGGCGGGGGTGGCGACGGCGGCGGTGGCGATGCTGACGAACCTCCAGCGGACCAGCTGCAGTCACAGTTGTCATTATGCCCATAGCAGCCCAAGCAGTGGTCCTCAAGGCACGAGTTCGCGCGGCAATCGTGACTCAAGCATTGGCAACCAACCGAGAGTTCTTGGCACGTTGGCTGATGTCCCATGCCGCACTCAAAGTTGATATTGCTGCTTGGGTTGCCATTATTTGCGTGGCCGCAGCGGCTGTCGTTGCCGGAGCAAACGCCGTAGGCAGCAAGGCGGCGACGGCGAACAGGTGGCGACGGCGGCGCTTCGCAAAGCTGCAGCTGCCCTGGCGAGGACGGGTCGCTCGCGTACCACGCCGCGCACCCACCGGGCACGCTCGACGCGAGCAGCTGCGTGCACGCCAGCGAAGACTCGTACTGGCGGTCCGCAATCTCCGAGCACTCTAGCGGCACCGGGGGAACGCTGGGCGGGGAGGGAGGCGGAAAGGGCGGTGGGGCTGATGGGGGAGGCGGCAGCTGCGGGGGGGGCGATGGCGGGGGGGAGGGCGGCGGGCTGGGCGGCGGTGGCGAGGGCGGCGGGGACGGCGGAGGCGGTGAGGGCGGAGGCGGCGAGGGCGGCGGCGAGGGCGGGGGTGGCGAGGGCGGTGGCGACGGTGGCGGCGGCGAGGGCGGCGGTGGAGATGGCGGCGGCGGAGAGGGTGGAGGGGAAGGCGGGGGCAAGGGAGGCGGCGGGCTTGGAGGCGGAGGCGAGGGTGGCGGAGGAGAGGGCGGCGACGACGGCGGCGGGGGCGACGGGGGAGGGGACGGGGGAGGCGATGGAGGCGGTGACGGTGGCGGCGGTGATGGTGGTAGCGAGGGCGGAGGGGGAGGAGACTGAGGCCCCGACATGGCGCACAGCCCGTTCTGGTAAAAGTAGTCGCGCGCCTCCTCGATCGAAGGGAAGATCAGCGCGTGGCTGGCTGACGGAGGCGACGCCATCGCCTCCAGCGTGCTGAAGCGGGGGCCTGACCCGAAGCCCACCGCAAACAGCTGCACGCCCTGCGACTTGGCCGAGCTCGCCGCCGCGATCGCCGCCGAGTCGCCGCCGTCCACCGTCTGCACGCCGTCCGTCAGCACGAACATCGTCACGGGCACGCCAGCGCGCGCGAAGCCGCTCAGCAGGCCGAGAGCGGCGCTGATGCCGTCCGAGATGGACGTCGCCCCCGATGACGGGCCGCCGCCGGCGATCGCGCTGTCGATGGCGGCGGCATCTGACGAGAGCGAGGTGAGCACGTCGGCGTCGCTGTTGAACTGGACGACCCCGACGCGAGTGGAGTCCTGGGAGACCACGAACTCGCTCACCAGGCCCTGCGCGAAGCTGAGCACCGTCTGCATGCTCCCCCCCACGCTGCCCGAGCGGTCCAGGACCAGCAGCAGCTCCATCTCCACCGCGCACTTCGGCGCGCGAGGGGGCAACGGCGCGAGCGGCGGCGACGAGGGCGAGGGCGGAGGCTGAGGCCCCGACATGGCGCACAGCCCGTTCTGGTAAAAGTAGTCGCGCGCCTCCTCGATCGAAGGGAAGATCAGCGCGTGGCTGGCTGACGGAGGCGACGCCATCGCCTCCAGCGTGCTGAAGCGGGGGCCCGACCCGAAGCCCACCGCAAACAGCTGCACGCCCTGCGACTTGGCCGAGCTCGCCGCCGCGATCGCCGCCGAGTCGCCGCCGTCCACCGTCTGCACGCCGTCCGTCAGCACGAACATCGTCACGGGCACGCCAGCGCGCGCGACGCCGCTCAGCAGGCCGAGAGCGGAGCTGATGCCGTCCGAGATGGACGTCGCCCCCGATGACGGGCCGCCGCCAGCAATCGCGCTGTCGATGGCGGCGGCATCTGACGAGAGCGAGGTGAGCACGTCGGCGTCGCTGTTGAACTGGACGACGCCGACGCGAGTGGAGTCCTGGGAGACCACGAACTCGCTCACCAGGCCTTGCGCGAAGCTGAGCACCGTCTGCATGCTCCCCCCCACGCTGCCCGAGCGGTCCAGGACCAGCAGCAGCTCCATCTCCACCGCGCACTTCGGCGCGCGAGGGGGCAAAGGAGGCGGCGGGCTTGGAGGCGGAGGCGAGGGTGGCGGAGGAGAGGGCGGCGGCGACGGCGGCGGTGACGGTGGCGGCGGTGAGAGCGGCGGGGGCGGCAACATGGCTTCGGTGCACTCGGTGCAGTCATAGTAGCAGGTGTAGCCGCCAGATGGCCCGTACATGCTGGTTCGAGAGGCGCTCAGAGGATTACTCGCGGTGCAGTCGCAGCAGTGGGCTTGATGCACGCCCCAGCCGCCGTGGGCACTTACTGTGCACAGGTAGAGGGTCCCAACTGGAGCGTCCGATCCACCAGTGACGGAGAGGTCGCTGTGCCTCTGCGTCGCTGTGATGACGTACTGCCCGCCGACGTACTCGTACACCTCATATGGTGAATCGTGCGAGCCCAAGCTGGTCTTGACCCCCGAGACGACGCTGCTCGGGCATAACGGTGGCGCCCTCGGCGGAGATGGTGGGGAGGGTGGCGGCGACGGTGGCGGATCGATGCACGCAGCCAGCTTGACGTAGTGAAGGAAGTCTCCGTTGTCCTTCTGATTGACGTTGACCCCTCCGTTGTCCTGCCACAGCCGGCAGGTGCGAACGTTGTCATTGTAGAAGAACTCCCGGCACCCACCCTCGGCCATGCAGAGCTCCGCGCACACGTTGGCGTCCACTACAGTTATCTTCTCGCCGATTAGCCCGCTGTTGTCGATCCACTTCGCTCTGCAGCCTCCGTCCTCAACCACCCCACCCCCTTCAAAGCAGTTTCCTGCCCCAAAGTTGGACAGGCCACCGTCGCTGCACGGTGGCGGCGGTGGTGACGGCGGTTGAGGAGGTGAGGGCGGGGCTGGGCAAGAGAAGGGAGCTGAAGCGGCGCAGTAGTCGGGTGGCGGCGGTGGTGGCGGGGGCGATGCTGATGGTGGAGGGCAGACAAGCGTCCCGATGTTGGTCGCTCCGGCGAATTGCTCCCGGTTGCCCCCGGAGGTAGCCCTGCCAAAGCCGAGGATGAAGCTTGACGTCGCCGAGTAGATGAAGCGGACCGAGTTTGACTTCTGCTCGTTGGTCAGGGAGAGCGGGTTCGTGACATCTGGGATGCCGTTGCCCTGGGGATCGGCGTCCCAGCGCTTCCCCCACCCGACATTAGAGACATAGGAGCTT